TTCCGTCTCGCGACATCTTTCCCCTCTTCGAGGCGCCATGGGAGCTCTCTGCGTGGGACGCTTAGATTGTGGGAAGATGGTATCGCGTCGGTACGAAATTTAGTGGTGGTAGAGGAAGGGTGGGAGGGAGGGAGGGAGGGAGAGGGAGAGAGAGAGAAAGAGAGAGACGATGTATCGTATCGTTCCGTGCATCTCGCGCGATGCCCGATAATTCCAGCCCGATTTCCAGAAGATTGATGCCGAAGGTGTGTACCGTGTAACATTTCCTCCCCCCCCCCCACCCTCTCCCTCCTTTTTTCTCCCTCTTTCCATCGAATAAAAGCGGTTGATTAACTGCGTTCATATTTCATCGCTGCGTCGTCGTAATTATGCGCATTCACGCGGCAGCCGCTCTCTTCGGACGAGACACGAGTAGTGGACTTTTTCCATCGGACAGCAGCGATTTTCGCGAGAGCACCGAAATACCGGCTGGTAGCCAATCGCGGTAAGGTAAATTTCACGGTAAATTAGACGGTTAAACGGTTAAATCTGGTTCGAGGGCCGTGTAAACCGGCCGGCGGCCACTTACGGTGCGCGAATATTAAATCTCTAAATCGTAAAGCTCGCCATTACGCTGTCGTCCATTCGGCCCGAAGAGACAATGGCGCGTCCTGAGACATTACACTCCAAGGAATCCTCGAAATAGGTCAGTTAACGAGACAGCTGGTATTAAACGGGACAGGCATTATCTGTCCAGCTTGCAACGACCTTCGAAATTGGCAAATGATGGCAGATTCGCACCTTCCGGAGTTTCCGCGTTGCTCGTGGCGTATTCCTTCGGAACAGGCGCGATCCTCGGAGATTATAGCAGAGTCGAATATAATCGACGGATGGCAAATTAATCGGACTGTAAATGATCAAAAGATCGCAGCTCGGCGAGTCGACTCGAAAGAGTAAAGATGGGAATTTTTGTGAAAAGGAGGTCCTCGTTTCTGCGTGGAGGTCCTTAATCGTCAGTTGTTAATCAAGCCTAATTAATACGGGACCGCGATCTGATCTGGACCCGGATCCGGAGGAATGAAAAGGCACGGTCGCAGCTGGCCGAGGGGGATTAAAGTAGTAAAGGTGTTACCGATTCTACGGACTACGTTTGAAACGTCAAGATTATCCGGATAACGAAGCCGCCTTCTCGAAAGTAGCGAGAGGATTGGAGCGCCGATATCGCGACGGGGCGGAGGGGTTCCGGCCGGACCGGCCGGAAGTACGAGTTCGAGGGCTATAAAGAGACGCTCCGGAATGATCGGCCCCGAGACAAGTCCGAACGCGGTAAAGCACAGGTGCACCGTGCCATAATTTACAGCTAGCTAATAAATTTCACCCGGGGGAATCTTGTTCTCGTCGGTTTACGCTCGAAATCTGGAGTCGTATCGCGCGGAGTGGTTGCGCGCCAACTTCTAACCCGCGTGGATGTAAAGCGACCACGGAGATATTTACAGGCGGCATTAAGGGATAAAATAATTGTCAGCGGTGAGAGCCGGTCATTGATAAGAATGAAATGCGCGCGACGATGCAACGCTCGTTGAAATTTATAATCGTACGTCACCGATTTCGTATCGTTTCGTGCCAGGGGCTCGATCGTCGTTTCTCATTTTCTCGGCAATGCGCAGTGAAACGACCGACGCGTGTCGCATTCCGATTCCGCCTGGTCGTTGTTCTCGGCCGATACAGAATATTTAGCCTGACTTTAGTCGGGAGCTGTCCGGCCAACGAGCGATCGCTGCTTTACCGCTCGCGAGGCACTCTGCATCGGGGATCAGAAGTCGAGCGTTCTCGCGATCCATCTTGGAAATCGCGTGGAATTCCAACGGACGTGCCCGACGTGAATCCGATGCCCGACAGTCTCGTTCCACTTCTCATTTCATTTTCACTCGGCGATGCCCCGAACACGGTGTCCAGGCGAATGCAGCAATTCGGAAGCAGCTCGTACGGCGTCGTTATCGTACAAATCGGCCGAGTTCTCTCACGAAGCGCGTACGTGCCTCCAGCACGTCGGCCACTCTGTATTTTTCTGTCAGAATCCGTGCTTTTTTGGTGCGAACGAGATCTTAACAGGGGGATCCAATCGTCGTTCTGAGAAACATCGCGTGCAACGAGGACGCGCGCGTTTTACCTTTCTACCGCGTCTGTTTGCTTAAACCACTACGAAAAAAACGTGTCCGAGAGACAAACGTGTGACGAAAAGAATGTGTGACGCAATCGTGCGTTTAGGAAACGAGAGGAAGCGGACGAAAATCTTCGTAGAAGCGATCGAGTCGCGAGGGAAAAGCGGGACAAGGCGAAAAAGGGAAAGAGGAGGCGAGGGGAAAACGCACACGAGGAAGGAATACGAAAATCGGTGGCCGATCGACGATCGAACGTGTGTTACCTATGCGCGAGTAATAAACCCCTGTATTCCCACACGGGCCCATCCTGGCCCGCCGTGGGAAACTCATACGTGAGCGCTGCTCGTCGCGCGCGACTTCACTGATTGTGAGAAAGAGACGGCGGCGGCCGTCTTTCCAGACGCTAGGCTGTTTCTCGAGTGGACTCGCACAGGTGTGGATTTTTCGATATGGCGACCATATCGCGGACATTTCTCATCGCGCAGCTGAAACGACGCCGTCTCGCGTATTTGTCTCTCTCCCGGTTGAAATTAAAATCGATACACGAGTCGAATCGTTTCTTAATCGGTCTGCCTTATTTGCCTCGAGGCAACGATCGGCCGGCCCTTTATTTCGAAGGGAACTGGAACGCGATTCGTCCAGTTTGCAATTTGCACCGTAATAACGTGTGCAGCGTGTGCAACGTCCGTGGACGTGGCCGGCCGTTGATTTTTAGACGAGGCAACAGAGTCGCGTCCTTGGCATCCGCCGAGAAGAAGCTGCTTTTAATGTTTTAATCTTGGGAAACGTATTAAAGTCGCCGCGAGGAAGACGCGCAACCGCGCGTCCCGGTATCGTCGCGGACCACGCTCGATACCGGTTGTTTATAATTCTTCGCGTGCACTAAGGAAGCAATTTAATAATAATAAGCGGCAGCGGCACATGGATCCTACACGGCCGAGCGTACGCAATCATCGTATATCTATACACGTATGCGTATATAATCGTTTATCATAATAATGCACACGCGAGTGTGCGTGCCACGTAACATACACACCCATACGAACGGACAGCTGATTGCAACTTATGTTGCCGCAGTTATTACCGTCGTCGGTCGAGAAGGTGGAGGGGAGGGGAGGAGGGGGGAAGAATTAACCGGGCCCCGATAGTTCGTGTCCCAGAATTTTGCCCGTGTGCACGCTTGCACACGCACACGTACTCACTCGGGGGGTCGGTCGGAGCCCTCGAGAGCTCCGGAGAGAAAAGAAGCCAACAACAGAGCACACACCGATGGTGAATCTGGGCTTCGGGTCTTGCATCGCACTGAGATGCAGGTGCCTCTAGAAATTGGTGGCTTAGCAGACTCGGGGCGGACGACCGGAGAAGTCCCTCTTCGGGAAGGGGCACCGAGAGGGCAAACCGATGGCCCGTCGATGCTGCACGCGCCTCTGACACACCGATGCCACCGATATCTTCTTAAACTTTCCTATCCGCTCATTCATGCCCGGCTAAATGCCTATAATTTCCACGATGATTACAGGGCACCGTAACTAACGCCCTATGGACCCATGCTGTTCCACCGCTCGTTACGTGGGACCTCTGAAATTGAAACGGAACGAGCTCCCTCGCCTGCCTTTCTCTCTCTCTCTCTCTCTCTCTCCCCCTCTCTCTTTCTCTCTCTTGCCATTTCTTCGTTTATACTTTTCGTTCAACTTCGACCTGCGAACCCTAACGTCAACGACCATAATGATATCTAAATTTTTCGTCCGACCCATCGATACACTGGTCCACAGGATTATTACGGGTTGCTTGGATCAAACAAACACGGCAATTGAAAGACGAGAAGATAGCTGACGTTTCTCTTTCTATTTCGGAGCTTCATTCAGTACAAAGTTCTTGCACTTTTGTCGATTTGCACGTTTCGCTTTTAAAGAAAATATTAAGAACGAAGCAGGGAACGGGGCTGTTGCGCTTAATGTTTCGACGATGATCGAGATTTGAAATCGTAAATTTGAAGATAAACTTTTCAATTCGCATGAACTGCAAGGGTAATTTAATCGCTTAATTGCCGAGGTATATCGATAATAACGATTGATTCGATGTCGTTGGCGAAAAGTGCAGATGCGATCATGTCGACCGCGATAAAGCAAGCTGGCTGATGATCGCGTGCACGAGAATGCGATTTTAATTCGAAATGTACCAATTAGAGGGCAACAACGATTTGATTCCATATCTATAATCGAAATTGGTTAGAGAACGACTGTTATATAAATGGTACACTCTCCTCCGCCAGAATAGAATCAATCGGACACGATTTACTGATTCTATTTCAGCATAGGATATATCAATCTCACCCTTATGTAGCGTAGAATATTCGCGGTTAAATCAGTTGTAAATCGATTTGCGCCACTGTTGTTATCAATTTTTCACGAATACTTTTCAAAACATCGTGCAATTTTGCCGCATTGCACTTCGTGAAACGTTGGTGAACGTTTCAACGTTCCGGCGAAACTAAACCAAAGCGTGCTACGTTATGATTCACATTAAATTATTTTAAATAATGTGCGACTCGTCTGGTTGTACTTTGGGTTGAAAAATCATAAATGGCCGCGTGTTACGCGACAATGACGCTGAAATGTGTAAAGTGTGCAATAAATCACAAGCGTAAATCATGACATCATTCGCATACAGATCCCTGTCGATGTTTAGCCGCGCGTGCTCTCTCTTTCGATTCGACGCGAGTGGCAAAAACTGTAACAGGTCGATCCCGATCTCCCGCGCTTTTTTTTCTTTCGAACGCGGACCAAGTCGATCGAATAACCCAACGACAAGGGTGGTGGGTATCGCCGTGGCAAGGAAAAAAGAAATCGACTGGCTCACCTCCTGTTGCTGAATTAGGAAGTCAGGAGCGGGCGGCGGCGGGGGTGGTTCCGCGGCGGAGACCTCTTGAAGCAGTCCCACGTGCTCCCAGCAATCTTCCGACATGTCCATGATCGTCCCTCCTGCTCCTCCTCCTCTTCCTGCCCCTCGTTCTTTCTGTTGAAACGTCTTCGGGGGCGAACGACACACAAAATCCACGCTGCGGGACGTCGCGGCCCCGGATCAATCTGTTTTCTCCTGGCCGGCTGTCTGGTTCCCAGATTTCTCTCCGATTTTCACCCTTGACCGTGGAAAAATCGTGGAAATTATAACTAGACGCACTTGGTTACTCTGTCCTTTTTGTCTTTCGTTTCTTTTTTCTCCCTGTCTCTCTCTCTCTCTCTCTCTCTCTCTCTCTCTCTCTCTCTCTCTCTCTCTCTCTCTCTCTTTCTCTTTCTTCCTCTCCCTCTCTTTTCGTCTCTCTCTCTCTCTCTCTCTCTCTCTCTCTCTCTCTGTTACCGAGAGAGAGTGGTTCCCTCTTTCTCCCTCTGACAGTGGCTGTCTTCGTCAGGCCGGAACCCTGTCACTCCGTGAACCGGAATACGTTACAGCAGTTCGAGGTCTTCGTAGATGGGCGACGCGCGAAAAAACCAAGCGGAGAACGCACGAACACACGGTAACCCGTCGACACGGCGTGTCGCGTGACCCGCGTTCTATGACGACGACGACGGCGTCGAGGACGACGACGGCCGTCGGTGGTGGTCAGTCGGCGTGGAATGAAGTTGGCCCGCGGGTTAGGTTGGGTTAGCCGAGCCGGAGTTGCAGCATCAGCGGAGAGGGACGAGAGGGCAGAGCGCGCGAGCGAGCGAGCGAGTGAGCAGTCCGCCGAAAGAGGGGCGAGAGAGGAGAGAAGAGCACAGAGAACAGAACAGAACAGAACGGAGCGGCGTGGAGCGGAGTAAGCGAGCGTTCGAGCAAGAGAGCAAGCGAGTGGTGGTTTCGAGGGGCGAATCAGCGAGGGAGAACGGGGAAAAGAGAGAGAGAGCGAGTGAGTGAGGGCGAGGGAGAGGGAGCGGGAGTGAGAGAGAGCGAGAGGGAAGGAGTGGAGAAGAGAGTGAGAGAATGAGAGAGAAAATGTGCTAGCGAGAGACAGAGAGTGGGGTTGGAGAGAGAGAGGTGTAAGGCGTAAGTCTGCCCTAGTCGCTCGCTTAACCGTGCAGGAGGTGGCGCCAATATAACCCGTACTCCACCTCCGTCCGACAAAGAGCTTGCGTATACCTGTATGCGCCTGTTGGTAGGCCATACCGCCTACTGACTACCGTATTGCAGGATTTGCGATCCGTGCCGCCTGTAATTATTTCGATTTCACTTATATTCCATCATACCCGCTGTTTTTACGTCGCTCGTTTGCTCGCTGCTGCTCTACCCTTTCCCTCTCCCCCTCCCCCCCTCTCCCGCCACCGCCAATGTCCCTTTTGCCGCGCATCCATGCCGACCGGAGAACGTGCCTCTCCACTTCTCTTACTCGCTTCTGTGTTGGTTAAGCGAACAAGCACCGCGATTCCGTCTACGTTTCCGCGACGACATCTTAGGAAATGTAAACGACGGGCGCGTCACGAGCACCGTACTATGCGCGTCACTCCGATCGGCAAACGCCGAACGCGCCCGGATATCGATCACAGCGTTGTAAATCTCTTCATCGGCGATTAACACCTTTCTCTATCACCCAGTCGTTCGTTCTTTCCGGCCAACGTTGTATCTCGCGTTACTTATCGCAATTACCGCAATTCTCCATTTCCTCGAACCGATCTGTCGACAAGGGGACAGGGAACCGATAGCTCGTTGGCGCCGATAAACGATCGTTATCCCCGATCGAGGGAACTGCCCTTTACCTTTCACGTATACCTCCCGGTAATCGGCGACGACGTGGGCGGCGTAGCGGCCTCTCTGCGACAACACGAACCTCTTGCGTGAACTTGCAAAGGGTTGCCCCGCGATCGTGAACGAACGTCCTCTCGGCGAAGATCCGGATGTTTCTGCTTCTACATCTCGACGAACCAATGCGTTTCAGTTTGTTACTCTGCTCAACCAGCTCGTTCGTATCCGCAAATTTGCATTAAACTTTGACTCACATTTTTCCATCCGCGATCCAATGAAATTGGACTTGTATGGTTCGCATTTGACCGAAGCATACACATGTCTGTGCACTGTGATATATTTGTCTTTTCAAGAGCGTCGTCCGTCCGCTCATTGCGTCGAGATAAGATTTTTCACGAGATCTCTTCTCGTGACTGGCTTTCGTAACAAGCGCGCAGGTGGGTTAAAAGTTAATTGTAGTTATCGTTATCGCACGTCTTCTGTACTACCACGCGTATGTTCGTATTGTGCGAAAGTCGGAAAACGCGAGAAATACTTTGCGAGAGTAAATTATAGCGGTTTAGTGGCTGATGCGTTATTACACGCTGTCACCGGCGGGTTTGCCAGCAACTTTTTCCACCGCGTTTCTTACGCGACGTTCGTTACTCTGCACGACAAATTGTAATAGAGTCGAGAAGTATGATTCGCGCGATAGGCGCACGCTTGGCTCGCGAGAACCGACACGTGCTACACCTCGAGCATAATGGCAGGTTCATCAACGAACCCCTATATTTAGTGACACACTTTTTACCAGCGATACTTGTCGGTAGCGCCGGCATAATTAAAAAAAGAGAAAAGAAAGAAAAACGTCTGCCAGAGTTTTCGACGAGCTTGCTACTTGACACATATTCAACGCGTTGTCCGGCTGCGTGCTCTTTGATCGCCACGGCTACTTTTCCGCTGTACGCGCAAGCAATACACGTCGCCGCGCGATTTTACACAAGCGAGCGAGCGAGTAACGGAGCGCGTACAAAAGAGGGAAGAACGGGCGCGTGGACATCGAAACAGCAGTCTGCAGTCGAACGAAGGGTTGGAATGCGATATGAATGCGTTAATGCGTCGTTACTGACAGCGACACGAATCGTTGATGGTACTTTTGGCCCTTCTTCGTACGCAGCGCGTCCCACCGCTCTGTTACAGTCAGCCGTTGCTTCGTATTTCTTTTTTTGTTTTTCATGTTTTCCTTTCTCTCGTTTTGCAAAAGTCCTCTTCCATCGGTAGGACGAGTTTTAATTTGACTGCTGTCGTTCCCCGTCGACTGGCATATCTGGCTTAAAATTCCACTAATAGTCGCCACTTGGCAGTCGCTATTATCGCGCGGACACACTCTGAAATAGCACGGGACTGTCACATCGATGTCAAAGATTGATCACAGCAGACTGCGACATTCTCGTGGAACGTCGGCGCATCGATAAACGCAATTGCTGCCATATTGAATACTGGCTGAATGACTGCTCTGGCCGTTAGTCACTTTGAAAAATTCCTGCGATATTTATATTTCGGGTAGTTTCGTTCGACAAAAAGAGAGAGAGAGAGAGAGAGAGAGAGAGAGAGAGAGAGAGAGAGACAGCTCGCGGCTGTCTTTTTTCTCTGAAATAGGACATTTATTTATACGAGATATTGATCTATGATCGCTCGTTTTAAATGTTTCGCGTGAAACGTTTGGGCAAACAGCGGTCAATTTCCGTGGTATATGTATTGCCGAATGAAAAATGCGGAGCTATTAGCCGCGCCAAGGTATACTTTGCTCTTTTCATGGACCTCTAGCCACCAGCGACAACGCGACCCCGTAGAGTGTTGGTCGAGCCCTCGACTTTGTATGCACGGAAAGCCGCTTTACGACGTCAACGAAGGGGACACGAGCGCTTCGGTTGGATACCAGCCATGATAATATGTAATGCCTGTATAGAGCCAAGTGCTCGATCGCGAATCTTTGAAGTCCGAACTGGCTTTTCGCCGACAAACCCGAGCCGCGGCGATCAAGTACTAAAAATCATCGGGTAAAACTATGAGAAAGCCAAACATACAGCTCTCGATGGTCATACTCGCGGGCATCGGCTGCTTCACAGTCCTTATATTCGTTCGCTTCTTCTTCTGCTTTTTTTCTTTTTTTCTTTTCTTTTCTCTCTTTTCTTTTTTTTTTTTTTT